GCAGTTCTGTAAAAAAAGTAATTTTACATATATAGCCTATATATATATTTTTTTATTTTTTTTATTAGGCCTATTATTATTATTATTTTGATTCCCTACAACCTAGAGTTTTTAAAAACATGGTTTTAAGTAAAGTGTGATTTGCCAGGAGGGACGGGGATTTCCTTCTGGTCTAAACATCCCTGCTTCTGCTGAATTATTTGAATCCCCACACCCCTCCCTCCACAGCTAATCAATGCTATAGGCTACTTCACCAATAGACCATATCAAATATAAAATAGAGATATGCAACAAGCACGTTTAAACAACGACAAACAATAAAATCAAAACCAGCGTTTCAGTTGTTCATTAGTTCAAGTGGCCTTAATGCATGCACGGCTTTTCAAAATTTCACAAAGCGTTTTGAGATTATTTTGAATGAAATATTGAAGTTTATAATTAAGTGTTTTGGCAGACCACGCCGAGTGGCCCTATGCATTTTTCTAAAGTCGGGTTTTATTCGAACTTTTGCTAACGACAAAAACAGTTTATCTGTCGCCTCTGTCTCCGGGAACTGCGCGTCACAAAAATGAACCGAAAGCCACTTCAGCTCAGTCACTATAAGAAATCGGCTCTGTCTAAAGCCTTTAAATGTCTAAATATTCTGGCTAATAAATGTTATCTGATTATGTAATCCATATGAAAACGAGAGGTACAGAGGATGTACTCAAACATGTAGCCTGTAAGCGCTTCCCAATGAGAAAATGACAAGACAAGGGTGAAAATCTCGCTCTAATTAAATGTAGCAGGCTAAATCGCCCTGAATTAAAATGTAAAAACAGATCAAATAATGCATTTGTCGAAATGTTGCGATATTGTTTCATTTAAGTTCATAATTATTCAATACATGTTATTTAATTTAGCAGCATTACCACGAAGCACCGTGGTTCGATATTTATTTGAATAAAAAATAAAAATAAAAAAACTTAATTCACAAATTGCATGCCTGGTTGAAAGGATCCAAAGATCCCTGTAGACTTTAATATTGAGTTGAACATTTTGTTCATGAAAACAAATTAACATGCGTTTTTTCAGATTATATTTAGTTTTGCTTGGAAAAAGCTGGCCCAAACCAGTTTTATTTCATCAATTACTGAAATAATTAAATATTTAGTAATAAGCTTTTATGACAGAAATATCACTAGGCTACATGTAACTTAAATCATTTAATTCCTTCATTATCAACACTGTCTAGAATAGCGATTTAAGTGTGAATTGTGACTTCTCTTTGTGTTAAATCAGCCTCAGACTCCAATAGCCGGTGGGGGGTTGGAGGGACAGTTCAGTGCTGTATCGAGCGCGCAGGACAATAGGCATAGGTGTTAATGTTCCTCTTTCATATGGAGAGCGAGGGAGACTAAATAAACTTGTTAAAAAGAGATTCAGCGCGAGAGAGGCAAAGAAAAACGCATGTTTTAATTTAATTATGTTGCTTTGGACAATTTTCGTTTTGTAGGCCTACTGTTTTAATTGTTTAATATAGCTGTCATTTCTTTGGCAATACAAATTTAAAATGTCGCAAGAATAAGATTAGCCTAGTGTTTCTTATTTTGCATCGCAAAAGAAATAAACTCTAAACCCGATGCAACCCTGTTTTAAATAAAAAAAACTGTCCCGACACTTTATTTAAACCTTGAAATGTTCGAACTTGGTTTCAAACTTAAGTAATTTTAGTGTTCTTTTACATTACACAATAATTTAGCAGACTAAAGACGTGCTTCTTCATTTTCATTTTCTGATGCAATCGGCTGACAATCTTCCTTCATCAGTTTTTGTCCTTTGTGCAGCGGCTGCGGTTCCAGGAATGTAGCAAATTTATGTTGTAATAATAATTAAACAAAACTCTTGACTTTAAATAAGTAAACAGTTATAAACAGTTAGCTATTTAAGCATCAAGAAGGTTAAACATAAACGCTGTAGGGCAACATCGGTTAACAACATGTATGCTACATTGAGATTCGATCCGAGTCGATTGAAGCTCCTCGAAGCTCGTGTTGTTGCGTTAACCACTGAGCTATCGTCTATACGTCTGTGACTGTTTTTATTGCAATGTTTTACTTTTTCATTATTTATTCAATTTCATTTCAGTAGCCTAATTTCAGTATTGTGATTATGAATTATTTTAACTACGTTTCACTTGTTGAATTCATCTGCTACCAGCTTTCAATCGCTCTGAATCAGTGCGGTGCGGCAGCAGATTACGCATTAGAGAGAATAAACAAACACTTTTCAGAGTCTATGATTGTAGCGCCTCTTGGCGGTAAAAGGCAGCAAATACACCCCACATTTTACCGCCGCGGTGGAACGGCTGATGTGGGCATTGTCATGGCTTGCCTCGACATTTGCGTTTGAATAGCGCGCGTCCTCCGTGGGCGTGTCAGATTAACGCGTAATGAAGTGTAATGAGCTGGGGAAAAAAAATCTGACAGCACTCTCTTTTCATACAGATTACATAAACTGAGAATATTTGTTTTTTATATAAATTACATCATTAAAAAGAAGAGAATTCAAGCTTCATAAAGAAAAACCTCTCGTGCCTGTATGACAAGTATTTGCAGAGTTAGAGTTAATTTTTCGGACGTGTTTCAGAATGGACTGC